TTTTTTTTTTTTTTTAACACAAGCATTCTGAAAAGAGATTGGGACAAGGAGCCTACTGGTGGCCAAGGAAGGTGCCCAGGAACAACACATTGCCTACTTCTGGCTTAAGCTTTAATGAATTAATTAGTTTAAGATACCATACAATTCTGTTGTTTTTGTGGAGGTCTAATAATTTTTCATCCAGAAGTATGCCACTTCCTCTGATGAAGGGCCGCATTCCTCAAAGTGAATAGTTCAGGACACAAAATAAAAAATAAAGTATATTTTGGGGACTTAAGACTTTGTGAGGCCACTGTAGTCCATGGAACTTCAAGTTGTGTGCCTCTGCTTCAGCCTATAGCTTGCTCTGTGGGTCACAGGTGAGAAGACTCAGAGTAAAGCTATCAGAAATCTATTCGTCACTTGATCAATCCATGTTGTTGCTCTGAGTCTGTGAACTCCATTAAAAGATACTGTTTTAAATCATACAAAAGCTCTGATACTTATTTAACTAACTCTTTTATAAAGTCAAAGATCACAGCTGGCTCCAAGTCATAAATGTCCCCAAAACAGGAAACAGATAGAAATTAATAGGAAGAAAAATGTAATTAATAGTGCAAAACACAAATCATAGGTGCATATGATACTGTAACTGAATAGAATGAAAACAGACAGAAATATAAAATAATGGATATTACTGGGGCAGAGGTAAGCTATACTGAAAATACTGAAGAAAAAAAGATGGTAGTAGGAATCAGTTAGTAATTGGGATGAAGCTATTCCAGCAAAAGTAGTCAAGGGTGCTCTGTGCTGTTATTAAAGCATATTTGATTTTCAGCAACTGAAAATAATAAATAAGGCTAGTAGACAATAGAGCCATGTAATAATCTACCAAAATATGACATTAGGCTACAAGTCAACACAGGATATTGATACTGTCATACGGATTCTTTTTTTTTTTTAACTGGGGACCAAACCTCTGCAGCTGAGTGTGATTTTTCGGTAGCAAGAAGGAAGCCAAGAGCTTTAGGCTAGAATACTAAACGGCAGCCCACTTCCTAACAGTGAGCCCCATTGGACTCAGGGGGACGGCTGCTGAGCATACATGTATAGGGTTGCATCAGGTAGCTCCAAGCCGAAAATCACCTCGCGGGCTGAAGATTTCCCATTTCAAATAATTAAATGAGCTGCTTTCGCTTAAAGCTTGATTTGGCACAAGGGCAAGCTTTCGGAACCCCACCCAGCTTTCCATGCATACCAGTGATAAACTGTAGTACACACCCGGCACAAGGCAGAGAATATTATTCACCTGATGCTTGCTACTACAACTCCCAAGAAAAGAAAGATGTGAAGAAGATAAACAGAGCTGCTGGTTCAGCCTGTGGGAAGAAAAGAAAATTCTGCATCTTGACTGTTTCCTTTTCGACTAACAGAATTGTTAGTTGAGTAGTAAACTGAAGATGCCCCACTGTTATGCGGATGAATGAGATGAAATAATTAGATATCCTGTTACCAACACATTGCTTAAAGCACGTTGCCCCTTCTATCTATATGTTATTTTTCCAAGAGGCAGGAGTGGGGTGGTTTGGAAGGGTAGAAAGCATACGAGATAAGGAGGGAACAGGAATGATGGATTATCCTATGGATACACACTATTTCCAGTCACCGTATACAATTAGTATACATATGTGCATGTATGCATATGTAGCTGTACACCTACATATAGCAGATAATATGTAACATTTAAAAGCAAGAGTTACTTAAATTATAACCATTTTACATAATTTCCTAATAGTTTACTCAGTTATTCCTTTTTTTTTTTTTTTTAGAAAATGTTCAGGAAGTACATGAGGAACAGGTAAGTATTTTCCCCATTTTCTACATTTTCTAGTATGAAATGACAAGTCTTTGTCCTTGAAGGGCTTCCCCCCCCCCCATTCCTAGGCAGCAACTGAAAGCCTTGTGAAAGTTAAATATATAAGTTTAAGTCAATACAGTATGTTCAAAACTACCGTTCATATGTTGTCTAAGAGTCTTACTTTCAGGATAGTCAAATTATACTTGAAGAGAATCATGTTGGAAATATACAAGGAAATATTAATTGGTTTCTCTTACGTTTATGGCACTTGGGACAGTAGAAAGCTGTGTTATATAGAGAGGTATGGGAAAACGTTTTGTTGTGCAAGTAAAACAATTCTTGGGTTTGTTAGCAAAGATCAGCTCATTTGTTCAAAAGATCATTTGATGTATTTTACTTGCATCAATTTAATATAAAGAATAGGCTGGGCCCAATATAGAGGGTATAGGCGTGAGGATATTAGCTGCCTGCTGGAGTGCAGGTATTATACAACTTTGTAAGAACAAACATACTATCAGATACAGCTGCTAGTCTTTTTTCAAGATTGATTTATTCTGACATGTGAACACTTTTTTTTAATCCTTAAAAGTTCTACTTGAACTTGCCAGCATACAAATAAGTCTGAAACAGCTGTAGCTTGCACATTTCTCCTGCCAAAATGTATAACTTGTTACTGAAATGATTAGAACATGTGCTAAATATTGCAGTACAGCAAGTTTCTTTTTGTTTCACGTTCCACACCTAGTTTATTTCCATCAGGAAGCTGGGCACATTTGTATATGGTTATAAAAAGTAATTCATCATTGTAAAGAAATATGTTCTTTAGTACAGCACTCATATTTTAGGTCTGTTGTAGTATATTACAAAGTAAGACATCCATTTTCAGAAACTGCTTTTTATATTTTTTTTCTCAAAAACATCAATTTGAGTTTTGACTTGAAAATTGTAGCATCTTAAATTGAATTATAAATTGTACTCTCTTTTTAAAAGAACTTCAAGAAAGCAATCTCTGTCTTTCACAAGGTTTATTTATATCAGAATGGTGACCCTCTGTTTTTGTTCCTTGGTTTGATGTTTTTAATGTCATCCTTTCTTTAGCAAAAAAAATCTTTTCAATTTATATTATTTGATTCATATACTATAATACATTTTTACTCTTTCTCTTTCAGCAGGAAATTAGAGGAAACAGCTCTATCAAAGTGGTGCATTTCGGTCTGGTATAAGCCAGAAATATTGATGCATAAGAAAGTTATGGTCCTACACATCACTTGTTGTGAAAAACAAAAGGCTTTCAACTAACATAGATTCTGAAATCATGTTCAAATAATTCAGTAGTAAATATTAACTGCTTGTAATCTCAGCTACTTTCAGTGGGAGAAAGTTAAGCAAGTGATGAAATCAAGGGGAATTGAGTGTGCTTGGTTCTGCCTGAATCTACTGTTTTTAGGCAGGACTCAGTCGTATAACTTATTTATATAAAACATGGGACCTTATAGCTACTGTATTATTTGTATGTTCCTAGATCAACATATATGATGACTAACCACCATCAACATTATACTGTATATTTGGAATAAAATAAGATTGTTTTTGTCCTAGATGGAAACTGCCTCATGAATTTATTTTATATTAACTGAAAGATACCCAATACTTGTTGATTCCATAAACAGGCAATAAAATATTTTTAATTGTGTACTTTATAGGCTGATAAATAGGTCTGACCTTTGACTGGATTTTAATTATATTATTAAACATAATTCTATAGTTTTCTTTGCATTTTTGTAATTTTGTATTTTTTTATAGTAGATTATGGCTAAAGCAAATCACCTAACTACTGTTACTGTACACAGTGTAAGACTGTGAGCTTCACTTTGGTTCTTATCATATTCACAGTGTAGAGGAAAATAAAACAATAATCTTTCCTTCATAGATATGCAGGAATACATATATGCACACATAAAATAGGCTGCAACTTTATTATAAAAAGTCCAATAAATCTTGCTGGAGGTACAGACTGATAAATTGATTAGCATCTACTGCTGGTTATACTAGAAGGCTTGTATTGTCATAGTATTGTCTGAACAGTTTCATACTGCCCAACGATGTTATTATCCCACAAATTACTTTAAAAGGAGGCTTACCAATCAGTGTCCAAGTCCTTAACCACAAATTGCAAAAACAATTCTATGTGCAATAGAACAACATCGCCAACAAGATTATGAAGGGACATAAATTAACAAAATCCTCATCAGTTGACAATGTAAGACAACCATTATGTGTCATTGGGAGTCCACCCAGAGTCATTGGGATTTGGCAGCCTATAACCTGTTATCAATAAATAAATAAAACCATGAGGAAGATTGAAGGTGCACTTCACACTAAGGTGAAAAGTGAATTTCTTCTTAAATGGTTTGGAGCATGCCTGCTGTATCTTCCTACTGTCTCCACCAAAGTCACTGTGGGAACCCAGGAAGTTGGGAATTGGCAAGAGGGCTGAGTAGCACAGTATACTCCTAGCGATTAAAAGAAATCTACGTTTTTCAACATTTTCTGTTTCTCCCTACATTATGTGAATTTCCAGTTAAGGCTGTACAAAAGACAATCTAGCAATCTTGTAAAAATAACATCTACAGCCAAGATATTTTTTGCAACAGATCAGCTTTAATGGTTGATTTAATGTTCTGAGAAAAGTGTTCTCATAATAATCATTATTTTGTCTTTAATTCTACAGAAATTCAGATTTTTAATCATTCACTTTTCAGCCATTAATGGAAAATAGACCGAGAAGGAAAAATTACATTACTTTTGGCATAGCTACATTTATCCTCATATATTTAAGAATGGATTTTTTTCTGCATTGCTTAATACAATCTTTCTTTTGCAGTCTGAGTTAATCTTGATCTTAAAATCAAAATTACTGGAAGTTAAGTTATATCCTCAAAGTGACTCCCTGCAAAATATCGAGAAGGAAACTTTTTAATTTTTTAATTTTAATAGAGGCTTTGTCTGATCTGTGTTTTAAATATATCCTCCCTAAGATTAAAAAAAAAAAAAACCTTTAAAATTATTTAACATATGAATGATGGATTTAGAGGAAGAAAGGAGAAATAAAGCATATTTATCAGTAATGATCAGATGAATGCATTAAATCCATGCTGAAAATCCATGTATCCTCAGAAGAGAAAAAGTAGTAATATATATAAAATTCTCATCATTATCATATAATGATAAGTACGTAGAGGAAATATTAGTAAACATTAACTGATAATAACAACAATTTATTAACCGTATTAATCATATACTATTTTATTATCATACTTGATTTTATACAATAAAATAAAATAATAAAATATATATGCTTTTATTTTATTTTTAATAAAATAAAAGCATATATATATATATATATGCTTTTTTCTCATTTGAGAAGAACATATGGTTCATGAGGTATTATGTGTCAATGTTGGAGATAGACTCCAACAAAAGATCCAGGGGGGCTTTCACTTGTTCACCCTAAGGATGCTGACATATGTTACTTAGCCACAGAGCTATTTTGCTGAATTGCAGCCATATTTCTGTCAGTACAAGTGATGGTCTGTATGAGAGATTAATCTGACACCAGACAGTGATCCTTAATCCTTCAGTATATCATAATCTATTTACTTTGCATGCTAAGAGGATTTTGATTTCAAAATACACAGGAAGTGATGCTGGAAATGTACAGAAGATCAGGAATGTCATTTCCCAAAATCTCAGTTTTTAATAAAAACCCTTTACGGGTTTCTTGGAGTTCTGTGTTTTCAAAGCACTGAATGGGGATTTAGCTAGAAATGGGCATGTTTTTTTTCTTTCCCTCTTTATGCAGCCCTACAACTGTGTTCTTCTACTGCATACGTATGTGCTTATTGGATATAAGACATTAAAAGAAAGTCCCCTATATTGCAAAACATATTCAGGGGGTTACATGATTGTTTTATTGATAAAATCAAAGCAATCTTCAAGCTCTTTGTATTTTAAATATATTACCTCTTGATTGTTTTATTTATTAGGAAATGTTTATACATCACACCTTTATTCAAAACTGGATAATATATCAAAATTTAAATAAGTATTTTTTAAAAATCCTATCATGCAATTAATAATAGATCAAACTGTTTAACCAAAAAAAAAAAAAAAACCCAGCCAATTTGCATGTGGCTGAAATACCATAAATAAAAAGAACGTAGTATCAGCACCGGAGAAAGATAAGCCCCCCTCATTTGTTGATACATCATACAAAGGTCTTCAGAAAGCTTCTGAAATTTGAGACACTGTGGTTTCCTATCTTTATTCTGAAACTTTCTCAAACTGCTTTCTAAGTAATTTCAAGCTAGAATCTGTAAAAACATCCCCAAGATTTGCTCTACAGACTACACATTTTGACTCACTGAAGAATCTAAATATACTTAATTTTAAGGGTGGTCGAAATCAGTGGAACTAAGTACTGAGGATCTACACTGGCTCTATATTTTAAGAAACGTTGAAAAATATTGTACAGGTGCACATGCATTGTAATTATGTTTTCCTTTTATTGTAATGTTATAAATCTTGATAGTTTGTATTATCTCAACGCGTATTTCAATGCAATACTATTTATGTAATACGATTAGGAACATTCTATTATTTAGAAAGTTTAAAGTATTGAAAATAAGAAAAAAGTAAAAATTCTATCAATATTAATAGCATTTTAGGATGTCAATATTGCAAGCATAAAATTATTTAACTTTTCATCAAAAATTGAGTATAACATAAAAAAGAACTGCATTTCATATCAAAGTAGTAATTATGTGACAATAGTTTTTGTCTGAAACTAATCAATTAATATTAAGATCTCTATTGTATTATTACTCTGTGTGTGTGTGTGTATGCTGATAAAAGGAAATACAGATAATCCTCACTCAACTTTGGTAATTGGGACCAGAATTTCCGTTGCTAAGTGATGCGGTCATGAAGCTCGATGTCACATGACCACACCGCTTAGCAACAGAAATTCTGACATTTCCGGTTGCTATTGTTAAGCAAACCATCGCAGGCTGTTAAGTGAAGACATCATGTGGTTGCCATTTAGACCTCCTGCCAGCTTTCCCATTAACTTTGCTTGTAGGATGCTGGCAAAGAAGGTTGCAAATGGTGATCACATGAGCATCGGAATGCTGCAACTGATGTAAGCACCACTTGTTCAACAAAGTCGTAGGTTTGAATGGTCGCTGAACAAGTGGTTAAGTGAGAAACACCTGTAAGAGATAATAAAAATTAACATACCTGAAAAGTTGGGAAAAAAGAGAGAAAAAAATAATACTAAAAAACAAACTATTGATTTCTGACTTCCCCCTTTTTATACATTTGCTAATTTTCAATATTTGTAAACATTCAGGCCCTCTTAAAAGTGATACTGTAAGAGGTTATATTTACCATGCTGCAGGATGTGTTGTATGTGTGGGAACCATTCTTGCTTAAATTTGGTTAAACTTTTATTATGTAAGTACAAGTAGACCTCAGTTAACAACTGCCCTGTTTAGCGACCATTTGAACTTACAACGGCACTGAAAAATTAGGTTTACAACCAGTCCTTAAACTTATGACCGTTGCAGTGTCCCTGCAGTCACATGATCATGATTGAGCACTTCACAACTGGCACGCACTTACAATGGTCACAGTCATATGATCGCCACTTGCAAGCTTCGCAGCCAGCTTCTGATAAGCAAAGTCAATGGAGAAGCTGGCAGTAAGTCACAAGTTGCGGTCACATGATGTTGTGCTTAACGACCACAGGTGATTCACTTAACGACCACAGCAGAACTCACATCATAAGTTGGGCACAGTCATGTGATGTTTCACTTAATGACCACATCGCTTAGCAACAGAGTTGTCAGTCCCAATTATGGTCATTAAGTGAGGACTATCTGTATTCTGTTAGTTTTGCCATTGCTGCATATTCTCCAATTTTTAAGTCCCCGATGCATTGTAATTATTTGAAGCCATTACTAAGATTTAAATGAAATACCAATGATGAAGTTAGAAATACAACACAGCAACCTGGCACTGCTCTGGTGTTATCTATTGCAAGGAATTAATTATAATGCTTATATATAAGTAGTTGCCTATTTATTTGTTCAATTTCTATAAAGTCAGGCTCAGAACTAAAATGTCTTTTTTTGTTTCTAGTGCACAGTTTGTTCAGATGGATCTGTTGAAAGAACAGAGGTTATTATTATACAGAAATTCTTTTTTTCACACTTAAAATATGCAAGGATGCTGCACTTCTTAGATGTGTTCCTAGTACGTTAACAATCTAGGAAGATTATTCTATTTAATGATAGAAATATCTGCTAATTATTACTTTAGATTCATCTTTGTTTAGTGTCCTCCCTATCATGAAAAAAAAAGCAGGGGGGAGCTGTAGATTAACAATCCGGTACTGGCCTTCTTAGAACAGGTAAATTATATGTTATTTGATGTTATAAAGAATGCTCCCATATTAGTTTTTGTATGAGAGTTCATCTCATAATTAGCTAAGAACAATATCAAGTGGCTCCAAGTTTCTTCCCTTCAATTTCAAGGGCTGAACACCAAAAATCTCAGTAGTATTAGCACATGGAAGGAAACAGTGAAAAGGAAATATTTGCTGGAAGTTCTTCTCATAAAGGGGTGAGGGCAAAAGATGTTTTCAACTGCTTCTTAAAATTG